TTGAACCACCATCCTTTTGGTTAGCAGTCAAATACGTTAGGCATTACACCACCAGAGCTCCAAGAGTGTTGCGTCCCACCTTAATATTAAAACTGATAGGCTGATTACATCAAATCACATCATAGAGGGTGATTATATCATTACATAACTGCTGAACCACTGAGAATCATGGCTCTGCCAAGTTGGCACACATTTTGGGGGAAATAGTTCAATCAATCACACACACAAACATACACACACACACACACACACAGAGATAAAGCAATATGACAAAATGTTAACAGTTGGTGAATCTAGGTCAAGGGTATATAGGTATTTATTACACTATTCTTACAATTCTTGTGTTGATTTAAAATTTTCGAAACAAAAAATTGGGGGAAGGTAGCCAGTTTAACAAGTTCTTAAAAAGTTAAATATAAACTTAGCATGTACCCACTCCAAGATACTTATCCAACATAAATGAAAACAAAGACCTGTACGCAAATGTTTATAGAAGCGCCATTCATATTGCTAAAAACTGGGTGAATGGATAAGCAACATGTGGGGCATCCATACAGTGCAGTACTACACAGCAGTAAAAAAAAATTCTGATCAGGCAATACAAGGGAGCTTTTTGGGGTGTTGGAAATACTCTGTATTTTAATTGTAGTAAAAACACGCATATACACTGTCAAAAACTATTATAATTTTTTTTTAATTATTAGAACTGTATACTTAAAAAAGGTAGATTTTTCCATATATAAATTATACTTCAAACCAAAACTAAACTCACTGCCATCGAGTTGATTCAGTTCTGACTCATAGTGACCCCCTTTGGGTTTCTGAAGCAGTAAATCTTTACGGAAGTAGATTGCCCCATCTTCCTTCCATGGAGTGGCTGGTAGGTTTGAACCACAAACCTTCTGCCTTAGACACTGTGCCATCAGAGCTCCTTAAATCATACCTCAGCAAACCTAATTTGGAAAAAAAAAAGAAGAAGGAAAACAAAAAAAATCAACTTTTATTCAGTAGATTACTTTGCTAATGCTAATAATTAAACTAAAGTTGAAAATCTTAGATCAGACCTTGTTTTGCTAAATGTTGTTCATGACACTTGTGGTGAAAAAGCTAGCCTTCAAACATATAAGGAGATTTGTCTTTATAAATAAATGATACATGCATATAGACCTTTATGCTAGTATTGGTTTCAAAGTTTTAGGAACACTATTTTAGACCAAGAGTTGACAAACTTTTTCTGTAAAGGTCTAGATTGTAAATATTTTAGGCTTTGTGGGACGTATGGTCTTTGTCACAACTACTTAATTTTGCCACTGTAGCAAGAAAGCAGCCACAGCTGAAATTTAAACAAAGTGTTGCTGTGTTCCAATAAGTTTTTATTTACTAAAATGGGTGTGCTTGCAGGTTGTAGTTTATCAACTCCTGTTTTAGATTATTGCAAAAAGTTATCAAAAATGTTTAAAGCAACAGTGGATGCTAACTCAGAAAATGTTCCTTAAACTATATTTATTTTCTTGTTAGGAATTAAATATGGGCCAGCGATGTTCAGATACAAGAGGGATTGTCTTTGAAGATGTGAAAGTGCCTAAAGAAAATGTTTTAATTGGTGAAGGAGCAGGTTTCAAAATTGCAATGGGAGCTTTTGATAAAACCAGACCTCCAGTAAGTAATATGATTTGATAATCTTTACAAGATCTTTTATTTATTACATTGCTGTTGTTATGTGCCGTCGAGTCGGACCTGACTCATAGCAACCCCTCCTTGGGTTTCCGAGGCAGTATCACTACGGAAGTAGATTGCTCCATCTTCCTTCCGAGGAGTGGCTGGTGGGTTTGAACCGCCAGCCTTCTGGTTAGCAGTCAAGTGCCTTAGGCACTATGCTACCAGTGCTCCCATTTATTACATTAAGTAGCTTTATTTTAACACTTTATGTTGTCTGTCTTAGAGTTTTTGTCCCTTTCTTATTAAATGTCTGCTGTTTTTCTTAAGGGTAGATAGTATTATTTTCTTTGTGTTTTAGAATTCTTCAACTCTTTTTGCTGCCCATGTTGTAGAAACTATTTTGACAAATAAAATATATATATATATATATATACTGTAATTACTACTAGATTTTCCATAAAGGCACTCCACACTTTGTTTAATTATTCCTGTTGATATGTACTCACATCCTAGTCCCACAATCATCAAGACTATTTCCTTTAGCAAGCTTTCCCTTGTTAACATAGAAGGAATGATTTCTTTAGGCTATGAGCCTATGCACAAATACCAGCCAATAACTTTTAATTCATAAATATGAGCTTAAAATATTTATTTGCACCTTCCATTTTCTTGTTGCATTAAGCTATAGGCCATCTTCTCTTTGTAGCCACATACTGTGTATTTTAAAGACATTGTAAACTTCTGCTTTATGAAATGTTTAGGTTGCAGCTGGTGCTGTTGGACTAGCACAAAGAGCTTTGGATGAAGCTACCAAGTATGCCCTGGAGAGGAAAACTTTTGGAAAACTGCTTGTTGAGGTAAGCGAAATATTCTGCTTTCTTTGTTCAAATATAAAGACTTTTATTTTTATCTAAATACAGGTATGTGTCACTTAATGATTGTGTCTGGGCAATATCTAACTGCATATACATTCATGGTCTCATAAGGTTATAAAGAGTTCAGAAATTCTATTGGGAGAATAAGATATAGAGGATGTACTTCACTAAATACTGAGATCCAGAGGTCTGATCTGCCTCTCACTAGTGCTCCACATCCTATGTCTACCCCAGCCCTGGTGTAGCCATGGGAAAGGGTCTCACACCCATCCACAGTTGCCTGTATTGCATTCACTTCAGGCTGAGACTGTGCAGATACTGCTGGAGCCATCAAGGGGGATGTCCCACCCAGCCCACTGCCCAATCAGGCAAGGCGCTCTGCATGTGTTGCCCAGGCCTGAGGTCACAGCTCCTTCTGCATTTGTGGCTGCAGAGTAGTCCAGACTGCGGCAGTGGCAGGAAGGGCAGAAAAAGCAGCCAGCTAGATGGAGAGTACAGGTTGCATTAGGCAGGCTGGGTCCACAAGCAGTTCTCAGAAACCAAGCATCAACCATACAGGACTGGGAGCAACAGAGCCAGAGTTTTCATATAGTTTATTGATAACAGCAGTGGCATGGGTCCTTGTCCCCGACCAGTGAACATCCTGCATACCTCTCTCCTGTACATAATAGATATTCACAGATCATCCAAATCATGTAACATCCTATTTCACAGAATATATCATGGACATTAGCAAACACATGATTGTACTTGGAAATTATTTTTAAGTACAAACTAAATCTCTGCTTTCTTAGCAAGAAGATAATGTGGCCTATTAGGATGAGTCTTAAGAACAGAATTTTCTTTAGACTATGCCATAAACTTCTAGCCACTCAGGGTACTCTGTTAATTGGGAAGAAGAAAAAGAATGCTTAATATTTACCAACTACCTCTGGTAGCATAGTGGCTAAAGCACTTGACTGCTAACCAGAAGGCTGGCGGTTCAAACCCACCAGCCACTCCTCGGAAGGAAGGTTGGGCAATCCTACTTCCGTAGTGATACTGCCTTGGAAACCCAAGGAGGGGTCTCTATGAGTCGGGGCCGACTCGACGGCACATAACAACAACAACAACAACAACCTATTGTATACCTGACACTTTATCAAGCATTTTAAATGTATTGTCTAATTCTCCCAGCAACTATGTTTTGGTAGTACAGGCAGTGCCTGAGTTATGAATGAGATCTGTTCCAATGTCTTTAAATTGCATTTGTAGGTGTGGTAATTCAATTTGTGTGTCAACTTGGCTGGGCCTGGTTGAGTGGCTGGGCAGCTGAATGTAGTATTCCCCATGATAAGACTGGTAATCAATTCCATGGTGGAATCTACTGCGAGCAGCTGAGTAGCTGCCTTAGGGAATGTGGTCTGCTTCCTGTATATAGCAGAAGCATTGCGGAATGGTCTTCAGCTTATGGCACCTTGAACCCTACGTGTAGCTGTGTCGTTGTTCAGCAGCCTGCCATGCTCTGCCGACCTTGGGACTTAGAATGGACTTGAATTAATGGTCTGCCGTGTGATTTGATAATTAATGGTCTGCCGTATGCCTTTTTACTTGTCAACCTTGGGCTTGGCAGCCTCAGCAGCCAGCAGCTGTCTGAGTGAAGAAAAGCCTCTAGCTTCAGTGGGCCGGGAGCTGGAGGCAGAGCTGAAGCCCAAAGCTGAGGGGATTTCATCGATCCCCTAGAACCTGGCACTTTGAACTTGGTCTTAAAGCCTCCAAATTGTAAGAATAAACTCCTGTTTGTTAAGGCCGTCCCATTGGTGATATATTCTTGTCAGAGTGGCACTAGGTAACCAGAACAGAAGTAAGTCAAAGCAGGTGCATACAGTTCATATTTAACCTAAATTTAGTGCAAGAAAAAAGGCTTGAAGCCTTTTCAGTGATTTTTTAAACTGCATGTGCATCAAGTGAAAGTGATGAATTTGTTGTGAGTAGGTGTTGGTTCAGTCCTTTCAAAGTGAGAGCAAATTTACATAACATGAAAGGGCAAGTACAAATTGTTCATAAGTCAAACATTCATAACCCAGGGACTTAAGTGTGCTGTAATCTCCATTATAGATTAAGAAACTGAGGTTTACAAAGATTAAATAGCTTCCTCAAGGTTACATAATGTAGAAGTCATAGATTTGGCACTCCATCCTTTTAATCCATATTTCCCATGTCTTCTTGAATATCAAAGTAATTTTATTACTAACAAGTCAAATCGTCCATGAATTTCTGGGAAATTCTTAGGTATTATCTCTTCAATTGTTGTTCCCCAATTATCTATATTCTCTTCTACAACTCCCTATGGTATATATAGTGAACCTCCTCTAATTCTTCCTGTGTCTGTCATTCTAATATTATCTGTAGTGAATGACCAGTGTGTTTCTATGTTCTAATCTATTATGGACCATTATTTTTTTAAAATAAAAAGTCAAAATAATGTCAAGTTGTTGTAAAAGTTTCTAAATGCTTTTTCTTGCCTTCTGTACCAAGAATTGTTAACAGTTTGCCAACAGGCACTGGCCTACAGATCAATCCACTTGTATTGCTCTGTGTCCCTTAATCTCAGTTTTAAAAATTATCTATGCTGTATTCTAAGGAGCTCTGGTGGCATAGTGCGTAAAGCATTTGACTGCTAAAAGGAAGGTTGGCAATTCAAACCCACCAGCCTCTCTGCAGAAAGAAGACTGGACAATCTACTTCCATAAAAATTTACCCCCTCAGAAATAGTGACCCCGAAAGGGGGTCACTATTGGAATCGAGTTAGAATCAACCGGATGGCAGTGGGTTTAGTTTTTGGGTTTTATGTTATATTCTTTCACCATACTTATTCAATCTGTGTGCTACACATATAATCTGAGAAGCTGAACTATGTGAAGAAGAGCATGGCATCAAGATTGGAGGAAGACTCATTAACAGCCTATGATATACAGACGACACAACTTTGCTTGCTGAAAGTGAGGGTGACTCAAAGCACTTACTGATGAAGATTAAAACTACAGTCTGCAGTATGGATTACATCTCAACATAAAAGAAAACAAAAATCCTCACAACTGGACCAATAAGCAGCATCATGATAAATGGAGAAAAGATTGAAGTTGTCAAAGATTTCATATTATTTGGTTCTACTGTCAACACCAATGGAAGCAGCAGTCAAGAAATCAGATGACATCAGTGAAATAAGTCAATCACAGAAGGACAAATATTGTATGACCCCACTATTGTATTAGGA